TAGCATGTATTCTAATCCTAAAATTCTTACCTAACTTTGACGAGTCACTGTGTTCTGCACAAACTGATCATCAAGATAAACCGGTAATCATGGCTTTACCGATTAAAGCGACCATTTTCTGAAGGAGTATATATCTTGTGGTTCCCACAATTTAACTTCCCTGAAACTTCTCATTTTTTGAGCCGACGTTCTTATTAAATGGTCATCTACAGGTTTAACGAGCTGTCATGGGCGCCTCTGATATCAGAGTCGCATCCTCGGGGACTTATTTTTGGCGGAACTGAAAATGGCACCGTTGTTTTTCTAGATGCTCAGAAATTAGTGAATGGTAAGTGTACTCCTTTATATTGTGGGTTTTTGTTCTTCTTAATGTTCGGCCCAGGTTCTACTTCGCTTCAGATTCATCGCTGTCTGTTGTATCCTCTCGTCGTGACCATCAAGGCCACGTACTGTCAGTAGACTATTCGTCTGATTACCGATGGGCAATGTCAGCTGGTAGTGCTCAGTTATTGCTATGGGATCTGACGAATCTCGCAACCCCTTTCTCACCTGGTACTCCGAATTTTGCTGAGCAGGTAACGCACAATTATGTTTCAATACCTTTAATTCTTATTTTATGCTCACAATATGCCTGTTCTGCTTTTTGTTACTTTTTCATTCATCTATTTGTGCCCCAAAGCCTGCAGTAGAGCACCCACATAGCAACATTTTTAGCAATCTCAGCACTATTTTTGACTTTTACCATGATATGGAAGAAGAAGTTCCTATTTCTGAGCTATCATTAGTTTGGATCCCCCTTTCTAGTGACTTCTGTTGCTCAAATTTTCCGTGCGTGTCCCAAGTTCCTCATTGTCGGAGTGATTAATAGCGGACCCTAACAGGGCAACCTCTTCTCCTAAGCCCCTCGTGGAAGCAGTGGCAATGAACCGGGCCTTAAGTACGGAACATAATCGAAATTTTGTTCAAGTTGTTTTTGCGCGGTGTTCTGGAATCTGGATTTTCAATCCGTTGTAGGATGTTTATTCACATTCCTATATTCGCAGTTGAGATGAATTTTCCTCTCACTGCCTTCCAAAAGTGTCACAAATTGCAGAATCATGTGCGAGACACGGGCACGACCCTATTGTTTGAACGGAGCGCGTTATTTAAAGACAACCCAAACTTAAATCTTTGTAATCCAGCCTCAATTAAAATTGGTATTCACTCAATGACACTTCTGTGATTGCGCTTCTTCTAAGATATCATCATTTCAATTTGAATTTGTTCTATTGTGCTGCGACTTGTGAGAAATACTGGGATTTGTGTTCCTCCATCTTAGGGTTGTTTTCGAACAAATCAATTCGTGGAGTACCTTATCAAGGTCCTGATGCTTAGGTTCAGAAATATTTTGTTTAAAAGTCAAAGTTCAGTCATAGTCGAATAGTTTTACAGGAATAGTAGAGGAATGGCCCTTTCTCATTTAGAGACTTCTGTAGAATTCTGTGGAGGTTGGGGCACTTGGTGTTTTTGGAGCATACGAAGTCCACGTGCGAGAGCCTGAGTCTCTGCTTTCAATAAGGGTTCAAGCTCGGTCCCGTTTACCTTTACAGGATTGGCATTTGACTGAAACTATTCGCGAAGTGTTTTTGTGTTTGAGTTTCATCGAAAAGTGTTTGGACGAGTACTTTTTGAGCTCTAGAATGATATTTTTCGATGGCTTTTTGCAAATTTTTCGGACATTTCCTGGCAAAAATTACGCATGATAGGCGTGAGCGGTACAGCCGCACGTTTCGAGCGTACTAAAATGAGAACCATGTCTGCGAAAATAATTGTTTTATTATGACACGGCTAGTTTTGGAGGTTGTGTAGCCTTTTTTT